TTTTGTTGCTATGTTTTTTTTTAATCAAACAACGCCCCGGAAGGACGGGGGATTGGGCTGGATCCCCAACCTGTGCATAGATCAGGGCCCCAAAAACGGGAGCCCAAAATGTCAACGAACTAGATACAAAGGTCTACATAGTCTGACAATCAAAAACAAAAACAAAAGAAAAACAAGAAAGAAAAACCGAAAAATGAAAAAGAAACAAAAACTACAATATAAGTCGATCTTCGGGCTAACAGATGCCCGAGATACATGTCTATACTAATGAAAATAGAAATCCTAAACTAGTGAAAGCGGAACGCTGGATATCCAAGCTGTTCCATCCGTACAAGAGTGCGAAGGCGAAGTGGAGCAGTGTCGGTCTGGAATGTATGTGTGCCTGGTATGGTGGCGCCAAGGCTGGCCAGGTAATCAGCCGGTCTGTTCCCCTCACAGAAAATGTGCGTGATCCTGTGATGGACTGACTGAAGTAGATCTCTGATGCGCAGAAGCGGGTGCTGGATCTGCCACGAGCCCTGATGGCCCGAAGTCAGGAGGGTAGCGACAGCCGCAGCATCCAGCTCGATCCATATATGACTAGAGAGATGGACAGCAATCTGAAGGCCAATCTGTAGTGCCTGAATCTCTGCATCGTAGCTCGAGGAGGCCTGAATGGACGCATGGAAGGCGGTGATGAGGGCGCCGCTATGGTCCCGAATCAAACCTCCTCCTCCGGCAAGTCCAGTGTGGCGATCGAAGGAGCCATCAGTGTTCAGCTTGACCCACGGAGAGTCAGGTCGAAGCCAAACAACAGCTCTGGCCCGTGGAGGTCGAACAGGCGGTGGTGGGGCCACCATGTAGCGATGCGGTGGTGTGCAGCCTGTCCAGTCTCGGGCCGTGAGCCTGCCCAATGCGGTGAGGAGTGAAATGTGTCTCTCTACCTGCAAAACAATGTTAGAAAACATAAAAGTAATATTCCTATGCTTCGCACTATTTCTTTCTGTCCAGGTGAACTAAAGGATCAGACAAGGAATGAGGAAGCCCACGTGTCTAAGGTGTGTGCTCTGTGAGAAAAAACTCAGGAGCTCAAAAAAACTGTATGTGGTGGGTAGGGATATATGAGTCCAAGTGGCAAAATGCTCCCACACTCTCCTCACAATCTCACTATCTAGAAAAAGGTGGGTAAAGGTCTCAGTTTCATGGCGTCCAGTCTCAGAACAACACACACACCGAGAGGGGAAGGAGATCCCTCTCGCGTGTAGCACAGTATCGACAGGTATCCGGCGCAAGAAGAGGCGCCAAAGGAACACCGAAATAGTAGGCGTGAAAAGGTCACTCCAGATAGCCCCGAAGAGGATATTAGGCCGATCCCTCAGCCTTATCTGCTCCCAAGCCGAGGTAGTAGAAAACACACCTGATGATGTAAGTCTCCACCTCATGCTATCTGAACCGTCCCCCGAGATAGGGATCTGCTGGATCTGATCTAATAACTGCTCGCTAAAACCCGCACCAGCCCCCAACTCCCTATCAAGCTTCCCCCTATCCCACGACCCGTCCGTCCAGAGGTCGCTCATGATCAGGTAGGGGGAATGCGACACCTGCCTATCCCTAGACAACGACCTATCACCTACCCACCACTCATCCCAGACACTGACATCGCCCCCGCCCAAAACCCAAAAGATGTGATCCTGGGCTCGCCTCCCGACCCTAGTGAGGCGCCGCCACTGTGTGCTATCATGATCAACAGCCGTGACCCAACAAGGGTGGTTGGCACGTCTAGGGCAGTACTTGCCGCGAAGGTACTGAGCCCAAAGCGACTTTCCTTCCCTGAAGCGCCACCACAGCTTGTATGAGAAAGTTGTAACAATGTCCCTGAGGCGGCAGATGCCAAGGCCACTCTCGGGGAGGGGGCGGCAGATAGAGTCCCAACTCACCCAGTGAGTACGTCTCCCCCTCCCAGACCCGTCCTCATAACCCAAGAAATAACGAGCCATAATCTGGTCAATCTCGTCAAGAGTAGACCTAGGGGGGTCGAGGACCATAAGCTAGTGAATCGGAAGAGAGCTAAGAGTGCTCTTGATCAGCGCTAGCCGACCACCGAAGGAAAGATATCTATGCGACCAACCAGAGATTCTGTCGATCTTGATAAGTTGTATTCTTGGCATGTTAATTGTCATGTTTTCCATACTTTTCGGTGTTTATTGGAGTTTATTTATTGCTTTTAATTGAATTTTATAATTTATGTAGGATATCTCGGAATTTGGAATTTATGATAATTGAAAGGCGAAAGAGACGAATTTGAGCTAAGGCGTGGACACGCTAATTTCCTACAAGAGTTAGAAGAAGGAAGGAGTCTTGAGTTGGAAAGAGAAATAAAAGACTTTATGGAATTTATTTATTTATGGACTATTATATTTTATTAGGATATTTTGGAGAGAGAATGATCTCTTTATTTTCTACGTACTTTCTGCTAGGATTAGTATTATACTGGTTTGATTAAAAACCAGACTGTAGATCTATTTGAGATCTGATCTCTTTTTTTCTTTCTTCTTCTCCCTTTCCCGTCACGCACGCCATCTTCTCTTCTTTTCTCTTTTCTTTTTCTTTTGCTTTTCTCTTTTGTTTTTCATGAATAATTGGGAGGCTTCTCCCATGTTTATGGATAATTAATTTATTTTTCTAGCCAAAGGATTATTCTAGACTTGGTTCTTTATTATTTGTGAGATCTAATTGAATTTATATTCCCTACTTCTCTTTTATTTATATATCTCTTGTGATCATTATCAATTGTGTTTTGATTGTTGATGCAAACTGGCCATTTGTTTGATTGTTGAAACACATATCGTTGTTTAGAATGGTTAAATCTGTAATTGTTTGATCGTTCTAATATTTGTGGCAAATAGCATAGTTGATTACTAAGGGTTTTCGATTGTATGCTTAGGGAGATATATGATCTAGTCTAAATGATCCTACATGTGCGTTTGTTGGCTAGAATTGGTGGTCCTTCTAGATTTCAATGCTGTTGATAGATTAAATCCTATGATCGTATCTAGGGTTGTCTGTTAATTGGAGAAATAATTAGAGATCGTATCCTGATTATCGAGCAAGTAAGGAAGGATAGGTTGTTAGGTCGTACCAATAACCATAACCAGTTTAATCGAGAGTAGGAGAATTATTATTGCATCCGTGATCGAATCGTTGAATCATTTCTACGAGTTTTTCCTTTGGTTGGATATTTTCTCTATTTTTAATCACCCATTTTCTTTTCGTATATAGTTAGATTTTATTTTATTTTTATTAGTTAGATAAAAATCATCAAACCCCCATCATTTTATTTTTATTTCTTTCATGAATAGTTGCATCGACACTTTGTCTAGCCAATCCTTGTGGATACGACCCTGCTTACCACTACTACAGTTCTTTTAGAAGCAGGAATTTATTATTGTTGGATTCGACAACCATCAATTTTTAGCGCCGTTGCCGGGGATTGGTTTCTAATTAGACGTGTTTTGGTGCACTATTCTATTGTGCAAGAGGCTAATATTTTATGGAGTTTTATTCTCAGCAGTTCGAGCAAAATGGTTATCACAGGGAAAGCATGTGCCAATCTGAGTTTTGTGGAATTTGTGGTGACGCTCAACACCCAACTTGTTCTTGCCCAACATTTCTATATGAACCTCAAGGGCATTCTCAAGTTGGAAATTTTCAAGAGCCGCAACGAGGTAGCTCTGATGGATTTTATGATAGCTGCAACTCTGAGTGGTGGGGTGATTACTCGCCCTCTACATCATTTTCTACCCAACAACAATATCCGTCGAGTTCGATCACATCTCTTGAAGAAATTGTTAAATCGCTTACGCTTAGTACTTTACAGTTTCAACAAGAGACTAGGAGCAGCCTTAAGAATCTAGCAGATCGACTGGATCAACTTGTGTCCTCAGTGAGCGAAAGTGTATCTCGAGTTGAGTTGTCATCAGAAATGGTGGTAGATACCTCGAGTTGTGTTGCAGAGTTGACGAAATCTCCCAAGATAGAGCGAGAATTCATTGAGGAATCTGAACAAGTTGTGGTTTTTCAATCTCCAAGTGATTTGTCTCCTAGTGATTTTATGGATGTTGGTGAATTTGAAGTGCCAAAAAATCTTGACTCGAGTGGTTTGGATAAGTTGAAAGTTGTACTTTTCAATGATTCAACCTTTGATAGTTCACTAGAGTTTCAAGATAGCTTATATGAATCGTATTGCTTTCCTCTAACTGATACCATATCACCTGTTACTCGTACTGACGATTCATATTTTATTTTGCAGGTGTTGGAATTGCCACTATTAATTGTTGAGAATTTGATTGAGAATCAAGAACAAAGTCTTTTGCATGAGTTGAAAAAAATTAAAAAGGGAATTGGTTGAGTCCCGAAAATAATGTCTAGCCGAAGACGTTAAAGAAAGGCGCTTTTTAGGAGGCAACCCAAATTTTTATTTAATTTTATTTTTATTTTGATACTTAATTTTAATTTTTTTTAGGTTCGTATTTGGTAATTTTGATAGGATTTTTGAAATTTTAAAGTAGGAACGATTTTTTTTAAGACGTGGCCACGCCTTAAGGGGAATTCGTATCTGTCCAGGCTGCTATCAAATTCGTTCAGTTTTTTTTAATTAAAAAAAAAAAGGATCGAAAATAAAAAAAAATCGGATAACATCTTATTTCCTCTTTTCCAGCCCTAAGTCGTCTTCTTCTTCTCGCAGAAATCGCACAACTCCCAGCCATAGACTTCTTCTCTCTCACAGATTTCCACGCCCCTTCTCTTCTCTGTTCAATTATCGTGAGACAACCACCGGACGAGCCGCTGACGTCGCGAGACGACCGCCGCGCGACCCTTCTCCTCAGACCACCGTGCATGAGTCTCCTCCTGTTCCGCGACACTCCGCCGACCACGTCACTCAACCACCGCACCCGACCACCGCGCGCGACCGTCCTGTTCCCTACGACAACCGCCGCCGCCGCCCTACCAAAAAAATCCGGCTAGTCACGACTGCTGACCACCGTACGCCGTGAGACCGCCGTAGCAACAACCCGACGGTCCCCTGCTCTTCTCCCGGCGAACCTGCTGTTCTTTTTTCGGCGAGTGGAGTTCTCACCGACCGCAATCCGAGAGACGACCGCTGCTGAACGATCAGAAAATTCAATTGCGGCAGGAATGACGCTCCTCTGGTCTTCTCTCGCGAAGGATTGCACCATCTTCAACCATGGCCTGTTCCGAAATCTTGGTGAGGAATCCCGCGCCCAGACCCGATTGGCGGAGGAAATGGGCTGTTCGATCCACTGCTGGAGACCAATAACCGAGATCCGCTGCTACCTGATATTCTGAAGTCGTCTCATCCCTTCACGCCCTAAACCGTGTGATCTCCGATTGTCCTGGAAGCACGCTTGAAAGAAAGCCGGCGCGACCTCTGCTGTTTTCCATATTCTCCATCTGCTCGGCTCATTATTTTCTGGCTTAATTTGTCCAGTCGACCGCCATCCGAGAGACAACCGCGCCTTTGACCGCTCAGAAAATTGGATAACACAGCAAGCCGGCTCAACGTCGGCCGTCAACCATTAGTGATCTGCTCGCAGTCGGCTGTACTTCGCTGCCTGACCACCGACTAGCTGACCAGCCCAACCACCGCGAGCGTGACCCTCTCCACTGCTACATACAAAGCCGACCGGCTGAAAAATGCAACCAGATGCTCTACGCAATCAGGGGAGTTTTCTACTTCTCTTGCGTTTATTTTCTATATTTTGTTTGAGCATTGAGTTGGAGCCATTGCCATTGAGGACAATGTCAATTTTTAAGTGTGGGGTGGGGTGTCCTTTAAGACATTTTGGTTTTGCGTATGCGTAAATATCTATCTTTAGTCGCAATAATTTTGTTGAGATGTTTTTTGGAGATGATTTATTATCTTAGGTGTTAAGTCTTGTTTATTGTGTCTCTCGTGGTTATTCTCGATTCATTTGGTGCCAATCCGTGAAAAAAAATCGATTTTATTTGCATATGAAAATGATTTGGATTCCTTGTTGCTACTTGGTGATTGATTATTCTTGATGATTAATTGACTGACGAATGCATGTGATTCGACACATATTACCTTGATTTTGAGAGATTTGAGCCTATGAGCATACATTGAATATCATGCTCTATTTCCTTGATTGTGTGTTGTCATGACTAGTCGGTTTTTTCTAGAACTTGCTTTGGTATGCACGTCTTTGTTTACTCATTTGATGAATTTGGATGCACGATATCTTAATAAGGGTATTAGGATTAGCCCTTTGTTTTTAGCCTTTTTTCTTGAAAGCCTACCCAGTACATAGACCCCTAGTGAGCCAAGTTTGAGCCTTAGCCTTTTCTTTCTATTAGGCACGTTACAAGCCACAATATCCTTTTTTTGTCGATACCCTCTTTGAACCTTGAGTTGAAGCAATTATATGAATTCTTTGTATTCATGATGAGCTTATGTGTGTAGACTTGACTGTGGTTTGTTTGATGTCTAGTTATCTAACATCTACTAGTTATTGTCTTCTCTCTGAAAAAAAAAGAAAAAAATATCAATCAAAAAACTCAAAAAAAAAATAAAAAAAATGAAAAAATCGGAAAAAAAAAGAAAAAAAAAAAAAAGAAAAAAAATGGAGAGAATGACAATGAAGAGAATTGTGCTATTTTATTCGTTACGTTAGATACATGTTGTGAAGTTAGACAGTCAAAATGACTTCTTTTGGGATGTGCTCCATTTGTGAAGAGTTTGTATGATTGCTTTGATTCTCTTAGCCTAATATGTCCTTTTATCCCACCTTACCTAAGCTCCATTACAACCCATTTAAACCCTTCGATATTGTGTATTCATATTGATTCTTGGGTGGACGAGCGTGATATATTTGCAAGCTTATGGTAAAATCCTTCATTGTCTTGACTTGAGCGTACACTTCATATTTAGCCTATACACATTCGAGCGTTGAGTGCATCTAGCGAGAAGTTGTCGAATCTCATGTGTTTTAAGTTATTTAATTGTTGAGGTGATTATTCATTGATGTTGGTTAACGAGGATTCTTTCTTGAGCTATGTTTTTGATGTGTGCAAAATAGTTTTGGGTTGGTAACGAATGATAGAGATGATTATGAGATGAGACATGAATTTGACTTGATGCTTGAGGACAAGCATCGTTTAAGTGTGGGGTGATTTGATAAGTTGTATTCTTGGCATGTTAATTGTCATGTTTTCCATACTTTTCGGTGTTTATTGGAGCTTATTTATTGCTTTTAATTGAATTTTATAATTTATGTAGGATATCTCGGAATTTGGAATTTATGATAATTGAAAGGCGAAAGAGACGAATTTGAGCTAAGGCGTGGGCACGCTAATTTCCTACAAGAGTTAGAAGAAGGAAGGAGTCTTGAGTTGGAAAGAGAAATAAAAGACTTTATGGAATTTATTTATTTATGGACTATTATATTTTATTAGGATATTTTAGAGAGAGAATGATCTCTTTATTTTCTACGTACTTTCTGCTAGGATTAGTATTATACTGGTTTAATTAAAAACCAGACTGTAGATCTATTTGAGATCTGATCTCTTTTTTTCTTTCTTCTTCTCCCTCTCCCGTCACGCACGTCATCTTCTCTTCTTTTCTCTTTTCTTTTTCTTTTGCTTTTCTCTTTTGTTTTTCATGAATAATTGGGAGGCTTCTCCCATGTTTATGGATAATTAATTTATTTTTCTAGCCAAAGGATTATTCTAGACTTGGTTCTTTATGATTTGTGAGATCTAATTGAATTTATATTCCCTACTTCTCTTTTATTTATATATCTCTTGTGATTATTATCAATTGTGTTTTGATTGTTGATGCAAACTGGCCATTTGTTTGATTGTTGAAACACATATCGTTATTTAGAATGGTTAAATCCGTAATTGTTTGATCGTTATAATATTTGTGGCAAATAGCATAGTTGATTACTAAGGGTTTTCGATTGTATGCTTAGGGAGATATATGATCTAGTCTAAATGATCCTACATGTGCATTTGTTGGCTAGAATTGGTGGTCCTTCTAGATTTCAATGCTGTTGATAGATTAAATCCTATGATCGTATTTAGGGTTGTCTGTTAATTGGAGAAATAATTAGAGATCGTATCCTGATTATCGAGCAAGTAAGGAAGGATAGGTTGTTAGGTCGTACCAATAACCATAACCAGTTTAATCGAGAGTAGGAGAATTATTATTGCATCCGTGATCGAATCGTTGAATCATTTCTACGAGTTTTTCCTTTGGTTGGATATTTTCTCTATTTTTAATCACCCATTTTCTTTTCGTATATAGTTAGATTTTATTTTATTTTATTTTATTTTTATTAGTTAGATAAAAATCATCAAACCCCCATCATTTTATTTTTATTTCTTTCATGAATAGTTGCATCGACACTTTGTCTAGCCAATCCTTGTGGATACGACCCTGCTTACCACTACTACAGTTCTTTTAGAAGCAGGAATTTATTATTGTTGGATTCGACAACCATCAATCATCCTCTGTCTGATGCCCGCAAAGAGCGCTCTCGTGAGGTTGCCCTTATATAAAGGGACCCCGAGGTAGGTAATGGGAAGGTCGCCACGCGCAAAGCCAGTAATGTCGTGGACCCGCTGAGCCCACCTGTCCACGGTGGCAGATGAAAGGATGAAGGTGCTCTTCTGCACACTGACCAGCTGACCGGTGACCAAGCCATAGTGCTCCAAAAGGCGCATAAGCTCGACCAGTCCATCATCATCCGCCCGGGTGAAGATAATGATGCCATCCGCATAAGAGAGGTGAGAGATGGTAGGACCATAGCCACGGGTGCTATAGGTCATATGGGGAGAATCGCCGATGAAGCCGTCAAGGCAGCGAGAGAGGTAGTCTGCCGCAAGAACGAAGAGGGAAGGGGAAAGGGGGTCGCCCTGTCTAAGGCCTCTAGAGGAGGGAAAGAAGTCGGTGGGGCTGCCATTAATCAGGACCGAGAACGTGCAATGCTCCACACACGCCTCCACAAAGCTGATCCAACGCTCAGGGAATCCCATCCTAGCCAATGCCTCCCTAAGAAACGGCCACTCAACCCTATCATACGCCTTAGCCATGTCTAGCTTCAGCGCGATATTCGGAGCCCGCTTCCAGTCCGCTCGGGAGATGTCGTGGATCATCTCCTAGGCCAGAAGGATGTTATCACTAATGACCCGATCCTTGACGAATCCACTCTGGTTCGGAGAGATGAGGGAGGGGAGAAGAGGGGAAAGACGGCCGTTAAGAATCTTCGAAATGAGCTTGTTGGTCACGTTACACAGGCTGATGGGCCTGTAATCGGACCAAGAGCTCGGGTTGGGTCGTTTGGGGATCAAGACGACAGAGGTAGACGTGAAGGAAACCGGCATCCGGTGGCCGGAGAAAAAATCCAACATCGCCTCCTGAACGTCAGTCTCGACAAGATCCCAGCAGACCTGATAGAAGAGGGAAGAGAAACCATCCGGGCCAGAAACGCTGTTGGGATCAATCCCGAATACAGCATCCCTAACCTCCTCCCTGCTCGGGAGCTCACAGAGGCCAATGAGATCAACCGAACGAGGGATGGCGGGGAAAAAAGAAGCGGTCGGGGCCACGAGGGACCCTCTGTCAAAGGTGAAGAGGGTCTGGAAGTGAGCAACAGCCGACTCCCGAATTTGAGCCTCTTGGGTCAAGGATGACCCATCAGCCTCGATACTATGGATGTACGACTTAGCACGCTTCTGCCTAACGTAGCCCTGGAAGAATCTAGTATTCCGCTCGCCCTCGGCCACCCAGCGAACAGCCGCCTTCTGCTTCCAGAAGTCCTCCTCCATAAGGAGTCGGAGCTGGTACTCGGCGTGGCAGTGGTGCATGGCAGTCCTATTCTCCGGAGTGGGATCCATGTCATAGGCCCGCTCAGCCGTCGCGTGCGCACTCTGAGCCGCAGCAAGGCGCTAATGGAGGTTTCCAATAACATCCCAGTTCTACTGTCTCAACCGAAGCCGCAGTCTGCCGAGCTTCGCCTCGAGATTGCGCATCCCGAAGAGCCCAGTCGGCTGAAGCCAAGAATCCCTGACAGTGTCGTGGAAGGAGTGGTGGCGAACCCACATGTTCTGGAACCTAAACGAAGAGCGGCGGCGGGTGCTCGAAAACCGGCACCGGATGAGAAGGGGTGAATGGTCGGACCCGAATCGAGTAAGGTGTGTGACAGTCGTAACCGCAAACACCTTCGACCACGCCTCAGAAACTAATGCACGGTCTAACCTCTCTTTGAGTCCGTCCCTCACCCACGTGAAGGGCTCACCATCACATCCAGCGTCAATTAACTCGCAGTCCACCACCGCCTGAGCAAAATCCCACATCTCCCGTGACCGGTCCGTGCGGCCACCCACACGCTCATCGGGATGCAGAAAGATGTTGAAATCGCCACTAACCATCTATGGCAATCC